CTGTACAGAAAAAACGCATTAGGATCTTGGCATCAGTCACTGAGGATGTTTGCCATTTAGAAATTAACTGGTTAAATAAATGAGATTACATCAACTCCTTGCTGTAGTGTAAGGTGATTTACACCTACTAAGGACCAGAAATTGTCAAAGTTTTTCAAATGTGTTACACATAAAGCAGGGCACTTTACTTTTATGCCTTCTTTTTGGGCAGATTTCTGAATATTATCTGTAAAGTAGCATAACAACCATTCCATTTTAGTGGAACTAGAGTTACACATTTGCTACGAGTTACTAGCATCTCACCCCTGGTCACCCAGAGAACAAGTTGGCAGAGTGTTTGATTTTCACGGTCAGAAATTTTAAAATAAATAAGTTATCTCATTGTCACAGCTGGAGAAGGAGAGGAGATTAGCTGCAGCCTCTCCCAGTGCTGAATACGGTGAACAGCTGGCTCCAGCGTTCAGCTACTTCATTCTCATGCAGGACCAGAGCAGACTGAATAGCTGCACAACAGGGGCCTGAAAAAAAGCAAGGACCACTTTTCTAGGTGTTGTATACCTTTCTCTCAAGTTGCACACACCAAAATGAAGGACAGAGTGGGTGGTTCCAAACATTAGCTGGCAAAACGGCTGGCTGATGAGCAAGTGCCCAAAGAACAAGCAACATCTTTTCAAACACCAGTGCTTTTTCTGAGGATTCGTTTTGGAAGGGTTTAAGATTTTTACATTTGAGAAATTAAGGGATAGTTTCCCCCAAGCAAACATTAGCACAGAAAGTTTTTTGATTTAGCAACAAAAGGCCCTTTTGGCTCAAGGTCAGTAAAAGTGGAAGTACCATTTCTACCACTTCGCTGTCCCAGACACCTTGCAAAACAGGTGATTATAACACTGACAGTCCTAAATAAACTAATTGGTTTTAACCCTGCCCAACACTGATTCTAGTTATTGCCCCAAATGAAGAGCTACGTGCACCATCACCCTATTCTGCTCCATGGGAGAAGGAATTTCATAGCAGGAAGTCCAAATAAACACAGGCATACTCCTTGGGCCAAAGTACCCTGAGATAACATTTTAAACTGTACCAACTGGTTAGCTCTGCTGCAGTCAAACTGTTCCCTGCAAAAATACTCTGGATGTCAGAATCATCAAGCGTGTGCCTTCTGGGCTCAAACTGTTCAGAAATACCCATAATATTCTGCCATTCCCCCTGCACAACTACTCCAGCCTTTTCTCATCAAGCTGAGCCTGTCTCCTGTGGGTGGTATCAGGGCCTCAGAGCTTCCCGGGAAGCCCTCTCCTCGCATAGACGGGCACAGCTCCCATGTGGAACGGACCTGAAGGGGTGTGGGTGACTCCACACAAAATGGGTGCTTTGGCACTAATCAACCGAGCCGAGTCTAGAAGGGCACAATTGCAAGATCACCCCCAAAACATCAGTGAGAACACTGCACATTAAAAGCGGTGCAGCAAAAGACCAGACCCTCCTATTCCCAAGCCCTCTGTTAAATCAGAAGAATTTCAGGTCACCAAAGCATCCGGTGCTATCTGACATGTCCTCGGGCTCCAGCTTCCACCCGAGAAGGGAGTGGTCCCCAGTAGGTCCCATGTCATATTGCCAACCTCATGCAAGTATCTCAGATACTATCTGACAGCCAAAACACTGGTAGAGGTGACATTTCCAATCAGAGTTGCTTCCCTTCTGTGCTCCTCCATGTATTATTGTTCCATGCGTGTTCATTTTTTGAAAGCTTGGCAGGTGACTGAAAAATGTGTTCTGTGCTTTCTAATCTTAAAGTGATTTTGTTCTGCAGAATTTCCAGGGAAGCATCAGCATTCAGTAAGCCCCTCTTGCTGCTGGCCAAGGGCTCTCTGCAATCGCTGGCAGGACAACTCTTCCTGAACACATCTGATCAGTGTCATATATTAGCTGTTCTGTGGTTTTTCTATCTAATTCTACCATCGTTATGCAGCTGATTAAAGCTATGAAAAATATGAAGCACGCAAAAATGGAAGCAGAAGGGCACACAGCAAAGCAGACAACTGGCTCATGCCCTGCCTCTTTTTTTCCCGCCTATCTACCATCAATATCCTACACACCTTCCTCTCTGCTTGTGAAGACAGGCACTCTCCTGCGTGTTTCCATGCAGCTCAGAATCAGTTAGGCAAGCTAATGAATAGCAATGCAGCTGGCACTGTGCAAGAAGAGTGCTCTTCCCCTCCCTCTGCCCTCCAGGTATCTCTGCTTGGAGAAGATGATACGAATGGCAGCTCTCCTCCTGGGCTAACCAGGCAGTTGTGATGAGGGCAGTTTCCCTAGGGTATGAAGACGTTTTGATCCCTTTCCTTTCCCTCCTGCCTCCTCTGCCTGCCTACGGCTGCCACCCCTGCCTGCACAGCCACAGCCTGGACAGCAGATCAGCAGCACGGGTGCTGGCATGCAGAGGGGGCAAAGCCAGTTTGCTACAGGGCTGGAAACAGGTTCTGTTGGCCCCACAATTAACTACTGAGCTTCTACCTTTTGTAGGAGAAGTCAGGATCACACCTTTGATTCATCCCACAGGGCAGGAACAGGAAAATTCTGTACTTGTACTGCTCAGGGCGAACAAAAAGAAGTATCAGCCCAGAAACGTCTACTGCCCACCACACTGAACGTGACATGGCCAGCACCACTGAACAAGGAGAGACACCACTTTCACCAGGGCTCTCGATATCTATATAACTTAAGTCTTTTGTTACAGCTGCAGCACAGAATTAAACAAAAATTGGCTTTACACCCATGAAGACTTTCAATCTCTTTGGACTTAAAATTGAAAAAATTATCCAAAAATGCTGAGAGTTTGCCATTGTGGAGTCTTTTGGGAGTTTTGGTTCCCTTTCCCCAAGGTGACCCAGGGGTCACACTGCATCCCATCCTCTGCTTCCTGCTCAGTGCAATATGTCTTTAACACTGCGTTGCCAGGCAGAGCTTGGGAGATAGAAATTGTTTGTGAGCCTGAACTAAACATACAAACGGGTCATACAACATAAACGACAACTCTCCAGCTCCGCAAGGAACCTAATAGGTTTCTTTGTCAAAACATGTCAGGTCATAGATGAATGGAAAATTGAACCTTTCCCTCACGTAAAGCCCAATCTTTCAAAAATCAAAAAGTCCCGGTCAACCTTAGTTTTTGCACTGAAAACCAAAACTTTTTGTTAGTTCGGTGCAGCCACACTGCCAGTAGTGTGAAGCAGAAGCCTACCTGCACATGCGATTATTCCAGTTTCCTCCAGATGCATAGGTACAGATTCTGATCACTTTAAAGTGATGCCAAAGACAGCAATCTCTGATAGCACTAAGAGTCAGGACTCATAGCAGGCAAGTTTAAGCACTACCCATGTGATAATTACATAGTTGTCGAAAAATATGTAAGTTGGCAGCATGCAGAAAATACAAAGTTTGAAATACTTTGGGAAAGCAAAGACAACCTTCTGCCATAGTCCATCATGCAGTTGAGCTCTGTGTAGTTCTCTAGGGAGGTGTCTTATCGGGCACCAAAGGAGCACTTTTCAGAGAGCCTCTTCTCAAGCCTCCTGTCTCCACAAGTGATTGACATGATCTGCCACTGTGTATGTTAACTGGGAGGTTTTTCCCACTATCCACCACAGCATCAACAGAAATCCCTTCACTGCATACACCAAAGTACATCCAGACATTGTGACGAAGATGTCTTCTTATGGTTTCATGGTTAATCCCATCTCAGGTCTTGATCCAGCAAGGCACCAGCACTCGTGCTTGGCCTTTAAGCTTGTGAGAATCAAAGGGAACCCTGAAAAGTTCTTTCACTGGGTAAGATCACTGAGATCAAGGGGCAAGACCCCTTTCCTTTCCTCACCGAGTCTGGCCTCTCACATGGGTATGATAAACTACACACAGAAGTTGAATATTCACCACTGAAAATACTCAGTAGATTTAACAGTTGCCATGAAGCGCTGCTGGGCATTTTTTCAATGATCTCTGTCTCAAAAAACACATCCTCATAT